GTACTAGGAGTTTTGTCCTATGCGACAAAACGCTAAGGACTTTGTCCTATGCGACAAAACGCTAAGGGCTTTGTCCTATGAGACAAAACACTAAGGGTTTTGTCCTGTGCGACAAAACACTAAGAACTTTATCCTAAGCGACAAGACACTAAGGGATTTGTCCTTTGCAACAAAGCACTAAGGGATTTGTCTTTTGCGACAAATTACTAAGTGTTTTGTCTATGTGGAAATTCTACTAAGTTCACGAGATGTGGGACTTGGCGTAATTCTGCTAAGTCGAAAGGGATCAGACTTTGGCCCGAATTGGGCTAAGTTCGCGATAATGAGGAACTTGTAATTATATTCAATCTACAGTCAAAGCGAGATAGAACAAGTTGAAATGATGCTTAATCAGAAACCGAAGTAAACGCGGACGAAGGTAATTAAAAAAGGTTTGATTTGATATACTGGTTGTAGCTAGTACAACATGTATCTATTATCTAACCCACTATGTTTATACCTTGGTCTCCTTACACGTATATTACGTAACACTGACTACTGGCCCGCGACAGGATCGTCCTTTTCGAGCCGGTCGAGACTAAGATAGCCGCCCGTCCTGGTCATCTCTCGGTACGCTAAGGCGAGACTACATGGCAAAGAGAGGCATACAGTGAAAGGTGTCGAATTTATCAAATCAGCATCATCAAGATGTTGAGGAAAGGTTCGTATGCACTTACTTGTCATTTTCTTCAAAAGCGACCGCATGGATCAGCTCCCATATTGAGTAACCCATACACTCGTTCGGTCTTTCCAACAAAACGGCTGAGAAGGTCACATTTGGTCGGATCTGAATTAAATTGCCGTGGGCGTCGAGATCTACAACGGGGCTCTGGTTTCGGTCCTGGGCGGCATCGACAAGTCGCTTGTTGATGAGTTTGATTGAAGCCTTGACGAGACCGAGACTGGCCGGAGAGATTTGACCCGCGCAAAACAAGCTGATGAGATCCCGTCGCATCGTCGTCTCCATGTCCTGGATGAGAACATTCGCGAGAGCTTCTCTTTTGCGCCCTTTGTATTCCTCTCGAGCATTGACATCCAGATCCGCTAGTTGAATTGGCTGCTTTGTCAAATTGGCTAATATGGCCACGTTTTCAAAGACGGACGTATCCATAGGTAAAAACAGGCTGGCGCGTGATTCGAAGAAGGGGTGGGCAGGCGAGACTGATCGATATGCTGTAAGGTGGTGTTGTTTGCCAGAATAGTGAACGTGTATTTGCAACCCCTAAGATCGGTTTGGTCAGGGAAGTTATATACGCCTTGAACGGTGTTGAGGAAAGGACAAGCACAATTGGACAAAAGGGCAGAGTTTGGAGCATTACGTTATCTGTGCGTTTCATGTTCACAAGTAAGAAAACGGGGTTGGCACGCCAAGGATAGGCGGTTTGCCCCGTGTCCGATAACGACCTATATACTTTTATTGTTCCCGTTCTTTTGGAAACCTCCTATTTCAGTGCAGCATATATCGACGGCTTTGTAAAGAGCCACGTAACGTTGTATTCAGATAGTATAAGAGATGATATTATACTAACTAAAAACAGTACAAGGTCTGAAGTGGGATCAGCCAGAAAGGATTATGCTTCACGATTATTGATGTCTGATAAGGTAAACGGCTAACTTGATAGATCATATATAGAAAGCTGATGTGAGCAAATCTAAAGGTATTATCTGAAGTTGTAGTTAGTACAATCAAGAAGGCGCTTCTTGGAGAGTTAGGGAGGAAAAAGCGTGTTTCAAAAATCATGGTGGCAAAACTTACTACAATTGGGCCTGTCATATATAGACGTCAGAACTGGGTGGCGAAGCCAACCCTGCGCAAAGGCTCCTAAGAAGACCTTGGCGTACAACCTAATCTTTGTCACTTTGTTCCGAAAATGGCACAAAGTGACAAAGTAACAAAGTGACATAGAAAACTATGTCACTTTGCTATTTTCAGCAAAAAGTGACTAAGTGACAAAACTACTGACCAGACTCCGGAATCGAACCAGTAACTCATATTCAACTATCCTTCTCTCTATTATACAATCGGTGGCAACCTATATAGAACACTAGACAAGTCCAGATAAGCCAAAAGGGACAAAAGGGGTAAAAAGTAGAATGCTTACAGGCTTCCATGAGCACTTAGGCCCCATCACCATATGCAATCAATCAACCCTCTCACCTGTTAGATAACGTAAGGGTCTTCAGCTTGCCACTTTTATTCACCATAGCATGCTCAAACCACTCAAATCCAGCCGTATCATGTCTTCCAGAAACAACCACGGAGAAGGCTCAGACTCTACGAATGAAACTCCCGTCGATACTGCACTCGTAAGTACAAAACCTGATGGTGGACACGCAGAATGTTGGAAACTAAGAGCCGTTTATGCTTCGCATGCCCCTAAATGATAGGCAAGATAAGAAGGAAAGGCAAATAGAGTGAAGCAGGGATGAATGTAATATCAAGTCATGCTGTACTATACACAGTTTCACTACACCTTGGGAGTCCTGAAAGGAGATCGATAACAACGATCCGTAGGGGAAACGCGTGCACCACTGCTACTTACTACGTCGCCCTTGTATACACCGACTCCCCACCCGTCGAAACAAAACACCTTTCCCTTTACATCTTCCTCCCTTTCCCAACTCTATAGGAACCCGCTCTCAGGATGACAACCCGCGGATCCCGTCTTGACTGGTAGAGTCGGTTGGGATGGCAGGTGGACTGTAACGAACGCGAGGTAGCTAATGCCATGACATGAACGATATCGCAGGATCGAAGGGTTACAAGCGATGTCGAGTTGAAGCTTACTTGAGACATGTACTGCGCGTTTGGGGAGGTTGAGACATGCGGGTCGGAAGTGTTTGTGCGAGTCATCGTGGCGAGAGACACATCTCCTCCTCGCGTGCCGATCTGGCGACGATACGGTCAGCCAGTGCTGCAGCACTAGCGACACCAAGACTCGTGCTGGTGACGCTCGGTACCTTTCTACTTCGAGCACGTATGGGGCGAAGTGACCTGTTGTTGGAATCGAATAACTGGGACTGCGATGAGTGGAGGTGATTTCAATGAGGTGAAAATCGAAGCACCAAACATGGATTCCGCATTTGCGGCTTGCTGGGGCTGACGAAGGTTGTTGATGACATTGGATGTACTGTCAAGGATTGGCAACGGTTCGCACGGTACCGTAGAATGCTACGCCGGGTGAGGGTTCCGACGCCTACCCCGGGGTTCCAGCGCTTCTTCTTCCTCCATTTTCACCAGCTCATCCGACCCTGCAGACGTTTCGCTTGTCTTTGCGGTGTTGCGATGCTGATCGAGGTGCAGACGCTTGTCGAGCTGGCTGGAGAGCAGCGCCGGATGCAGCCAATGTCGAAGATAGGAGAGGTGTTAAGTGCTGGAACAACTCAACTGCAGTAGGTTGAGTTGCTCAACTTGCCTTTGACAAAGGTTGAACTTCCAAACTTCACAAGATAATTTTCCTCGGAGTCACGCAGTTGTGATGTAATGCTCACCTGTATGATAGATAACAATACCTTAACTGTTTATCTAGAATGAACCTGAAGGTTAGCTAGACCTTGTAGTCGGATACAAGGTTAGAACAGTTGTTATCGAAGTACTATGCGTGCCCCTTCAGAGGTCATGACGGGTAGTCAGATGAGCTTGAAGTTAGACTATCTTATATAGTCATAATTGGCCACCGTTTTACAACTGAGGTCCCTAAGGCTTCTTGGGGCTGTTACATGTTCTTACCTAGTCAGACCGCCTTTTGGCTTTAGACGTCTGGCGTCTGACGTCTGACGTCTAATGTGTGTCGCTCGACGCTGGTCGTTGAACGGCGCGTTGAATAGTGTTCGGGCTTGTGATGTTAGCTGAGCTTGCTTAGTTAGCTAGAGTGACGTGTTATTCATGACTATATGTTAGCTGGCCGTGTTGACCCTCTATCGTTAACACTGCGGGTTCGCGTGTTGTGCTGGCCCATTTTGAGGTATTACGTTATACGTAACCCGCGACTGAGTCGGGGTTTCGCTAGATGTTGCAAGTTCGTTATTTCAGGCCCAACAATTACGTAAGTGTTATTGACAGATAGCTCTTCAGCTAACTTAGAGGATCGTACCGGTCCTGCGTTGTTGCAGCCATTTGGAGAGGAGTTGTGAACAACACATTTCACTACAAGAGGGATCAGAGAAGCGCTTATTTCTGGACATGACCGAGAAGGAATGAGATGATGTACTTACTTTCTGATTGTTGCAACATGCCAACGCCCCACTTCGCAACGCCCACCAACGTTTCTCTCGCACTCTCTTTCTTCCACCCTTCTTCACCCAAGGTTGAAGCACCGATTCGACCTAGCTTCAAGTCTACACGCTTCATTGAACCACACAAAGTTGAACGTGCTTCCAACGTACTAGCTTCACTGAGCCATGTAACTTTAAAGTAGCCAAGTCAAGTATCTTATCCGGATACCTATATAATGGACCTCATCCTACAGTTGTATCTCGACTAGCTACAATACTTATGATTCACCCTTTGATTTCCTCTCAATTCTGAAGCTACCTTCGAGTGCAAGTCTCCTCGGGATCAATATCCTAGTCTTCCATTCAAGGTATTCAAGAGCAGATTAAGATAGCGATAGTACATCGCTTGTGCTAGCTCCCTAATACAACGTCTGAGCTATCTTACTTCGGTAGGATAGACCTCTAGCCAGCGACAGTGGTGGTGCCGGATGGAGGCTTATGACATAATACATCGCACAGCTTAGAATGAACTACAGCAGACAACAGGAGCATAACTCGAGATTTGAAGCGAACGACAACCTCCGGTGCTTTCCAAAGTTTGGTGCACCCAAGCCATGCCGTTCCAGTCCAGCTCATTCTCCATACAGTACGGCGGTCAACAGCTATCCGCCGGAAGATTATCCTTTTCGTCCGGAAGATTTTCCTTTATGCGTCAGTTGTGTACGTCAGATTCGCAATTATCCCAGGCCTGGTTGGTCTAGTAGCTATGATCCCCGCTTTGGGTTCTTTGAACACAAAAGTTTGCGGGGGGTCCTGGGTTCAAATCCCAGACCGGGCCGAATTCATTTTTTTGCTGATGCAGGCGCTGAGTTGTTGCTTTTTGAATTTTGCTCTTCTAGCGGTCCTTGCGAAACGTTGTTTTTGCTCGGAGTCCTGGCCACGCAGTCTTTCAATCTTTCATTTGGTCTGAGAATATGCTTGAGTCGCTGGAACAGCCTCATATTAGTGTCCTGCTACGGCATTCGGTGCACTCGCGGCATGGAGACGTCTTCCGATTTTGCGATCCTCTCGTGGCACACTCGTGTTCACTTGGTGGGAATGGCGTGCCAGGGCAAGCATACGTTCAGGCGTCCGATGCACTTCTTTATACAAGGGGCGCAAGGTGTTATACGAGGTCGATTGAGTCTGCTTGCCGTCCGCCGAAGCTGACCTATGTCTTCGTGGCTATCTTCGGAGCTAAAGTCGCATCTGACAAGCCTCCTAAACATTCGGGAATTCGGGTATTATTAGTTAACGTTGTTTGACTTCCCATGGCGAGAAACGGCTTCATGCCGAATCAACCGCTGCAGCCAATGACGGTACACGTACCAGTGGGTATAACCTGCGAATCTAGGTCACTTTCTTTTTGCTGCTCAGTATAATCAAAAGATTTGTCTGCGAACATGCAAGTATGTCTTGCGAAAGGGTTCCTCGGTATGGCGGTGCCTTAGCTTTCCAAGTTTGTATCACACATCGTGTCATTGCCACGATGATTGAATGCGTCACGGTCTGCAAGTCTTCGGTCTATCACCAGGCCGACTGTAATTTAACAAGTCCAAAGCGACATTCACGCTCTTCTCAATACAACCAAGGCGTCAATCAAATCCATACAACCACGTCGAGATACAAATGGGATATTGATAGACCGTTAGTAGAGCGATCGATCCCCGCATCAACTCTACCGCCTTGCAAATAGCCTGTTCCAAATCGAGGCGGTAGGTTCTGCAGCAGGACTTTCACGATTGGTACTTCGTGGCCTATGAAAAAGGTTCAGACACAGGGCAGCAGAACGTGAAAGCGAGGACAACTTACTCGGCAAACGCTTGAGATATAATCTCTGGTGGCAAATCGGTTGGTACGCCCTCTGCAGCGCCAACACGATGTCAGTCAAAGATTGATAATTAGAAGATTACAAACGTACGTGAATAGACATTCGGATCCAGGGGCGAATACCCAGGTGGTGGTTGGTCGCTCTGCCCGATGGCACCAGAAACGAGAGCATGCAACCTCGTCTCCAAGCCGTGTTGTGGTTGGCTGTCGCCTTGAGCCTCTGCACGTCTTCGCCTTCTTTCCCTACGACGAGCAATGTCCGACGAAACCTCTGTCTGGTCCCTACCGGCTCTCCCTCCGAAGTACGCCGCAGATTCTTGATGTGGGCGAATAGACCGTAGGGAAATGTCAAGGACGTTCGGGGTTGGAGGGTTGTGAGGTAAAGGTGAGCCATCGGGACTATGTCTCCATCCTTCATACATTTCGCCTTCTTGCGTACCATCGTGTGCGTCATCTTCATCACGGTAGGGCGTAAACTGGTCTCGTCCACCCGCGCGAGTTCTTTCCTCTAACTCGGAAGCACTGTCTCGCGACGATGCAGATCGAGAGCGAGTCGAGTGGTAATCGTCATTGGAAACTGTTTCCTCTTCTTCGCCAACTACAGGTGGGAACGACCGGTTAAGTTCCGGCCGATCCGTAGGCGAGTGATACCGTGGCTGAGCGGCTGTTCCATTACGGCGCGTCCGTAGTTCCGAACCAGAACCCGGACTGGCGGTCGAACCGCTCGTTTCAACTTCATCTGCTTCATGCAGGGGTGACGGGTGAGTTGGCGCGGAAGAATTGTTGACCGCACCTTGCGACCGTCCAAGGCGTCGTTCATGTTGAGATCTACGGGATCCAGAGTTCCGGCCAGCAGGTGGAGAAGCTGCAATAGGCTGCGATGAATGAGTCGACGCCTGACCGTCAGTTGCACTGATGCCAGTTCCTCCGGATTCAATCAATCTTCGGGCCATGGTGCCCAGATTGTCGACATTACTTGCGCCAGGAACACCATATCCAGCGTCTAGCAAGATGCTGCCGCGTTCCGAGCCATAGGCGGGAGGCGGGGCCAGTGTTCCGACCATGGGGGCAAGGCCCCACTTTTTCACATTCGCTTCAATGAATACAAATCCGGCCTGTCCAAGGTTGATGTGAACAGTGGCTGCACCATTCGATCCGACGGCCGGGAAAAGGTTGTAATTGGAAAGTCCTGTATAGCAGTCGTCGAGTTTCCGGCCGTTCTTGGTAAAGAAGACGGTTCCCGTTCTTGGTCGATAACCCACACCCAAGACATCGCCTTCGTTCAGGGATGGTCCATGCGATGCTGCGGTGAACGGATAATTGTGACACTTGAATCCATCGCTAGAAAAGTATCCAACGGAGATCTTGTTCCACCCGGGCATCCTGAAACTTGGATAGGGCTTAGTGGCAAGTCCGACTGCGACTTCGGTCGACGTTGGCTTTTCATACATTTTCGCCTCGAAATAGTAGACTTCGTTGATCTTTGGAATCGGAAGGTTGGCCAGAACGGTATTCGCACCTCCTTCACGCATTGCCATGCCCGGACCATCGGCAAGAAACGTAATTTCAGTTCGAGACTCGACATACATCGACGGATTGGATTCGTAGTCGGGTTCGAAGCACCATGCAGAGACGCCTTTTTCTTGGATAGAGAGGAATTGTGAAAGGGTAATGTCCGTCGCAATGGAAGAGGGTGGGTATTGCTGCTGGTAATCTGTGATGTATGCGAATTAGAACGACATTCGCTGGAAAAAAAACATGCAAACTTGCCTTTGCCACGTTTGTATCCCTCCCTCACATCTTCCGACACCTGCTCGAGCCATCGACTTTCCACGCCTTCAATACCGCCCTCCCCGATTACTCCATCGTTTCTAGACAAGTCCAAAGGTCCGCCATCTTCCACCAGCCGAATTCCCTTTCTCCTCTTGCTACAGATGATCCCGATAAGGAATACGATGAAGAGGACCAATAATGTGGATAAGATAACGAAAACCGGTAGGAGGATATAGACTGTCTTGGCGTTGTTTCCTTGGCCAGATCCAGGTAGCTGCGATGGCTGTGGCACCGGCGGCGCCGTGCTGATTGGAAAGGGATATTGTTCACGAGGCTCGTCTACATTCTCGAATATGTTGATATCATTAGGCTGGATGGCGAGATAGTTGGCGATGCTTGCCACATCCACTGGCTTTTCCACGGTTGTGGAGAGTGGCGACGAAGCGTCGTTGTGAAACATGACCGCTTTGATCTGCATTAACCGGTGTTCTAGATAGGAGATTCGGGATAGATCATCTGGCATGCTTTTGTGTAAGAGCAAGATGTGTTAATAACCAACCGCCATGGAACTGACTGATTGATTGGTTTATTGAGAAGATGGATGCCAACGAAAGACGAAAGTGTCGAGACTGGTATCGATTACGGAGACTCGAATCAAGGGAACGTCCGTCATGTTCTGCTTCCGGCCCGGCCAGACTGCCTGACCCTGCCAGCTGACCACAAAGAAGCGCGCATGAGAAAGGGGCCCCTTTCCGCGCTTGAATGGATTACTGACAATAATGACCCCTTATCAATTGTTACCCACAAAGTAAACAATAATACCAACCATCATCGTTCAGGATCGTTCAGGTAACATCTACTCCTCCTCGGCAATAGACAACTTCAGCAATACTCTCTGACGATCATTCGGTGTATAACACCCGCATCTGGCTTGGCAAACCTCTAAGCAATGGCCTCCTCTATGGTTTCCGATAACCGGCCGACATACTTTTACCCTGCCTCGCCGGCAAATGACTCGGCACTACAACACTGTTCAACGACCGAGATTCAACTCGCTAGTACCTCGATGACCGGTATTGATGGTTGCATGAATGAAACGGATTCACCTTTGTCGAACTCTCGATCCACCATATTTCCAGCACTTTTGAACAATACCGGCTTGTCAATGCTCGACAGGGAGGATGTAGCAGAGGCCCTCTTGGAATACGTCAACACTATCAACAGTGACAGTAACTTGCCACTCGATACCACCACCAATGCGGAAGGCACAGATCAGTCGCAGAAGAGTAACGACAGGCAAGAAAATGTTGCTAGTGCAGCTAGGATTCGAGCTTTCGGTCTCGCAAAACGACTGAGCGGACGAAGCCGCACAGACTTGTCAGAATGTATGTGCCGCCTCAATACAACGACCCTGGGTGACTCGGACTGATACATCTATTCCATAGCATCTCAAAGGAGTGATTCAATCAATGCTACAAGACAAATTTGCAGAAACGATGCCAATATGACCGCAACAGCATCCCCGTCGAGATCAGTACAGGTCCCTAAGATGGCTGACATCACGACAACGTTCTCCACAGCCTCGCCATTACCCGATATGCGACGCATAACATCACCCAAGCTGCCGCCTATTACCAGTACACCGCTGTCCAAGCACTTAATTGCCGCAAGGGGTATTATGAAAGACCCCAACACTCCAGGATCTGGACAATCAGGTAGGTTGCGTTTCTGACAAGAATTTGTAGGGGTTTCTACCGAGTGTTCAACCACATATGACGTCCATTATAGTGCGATTCTTTTCTCGGGATGTTTACCAGACCTCGCTGGTCACGGATTTTGAAGCAACGGAGCTTCACGCTACGCGCTCGACAGACATGCCAGCCGGTGTCATGTCGCTGTCCAATTTGGAGAACACGCAAAGTCTTCTTGATGCATCACGCACGTCGCTCTCTGCGAAAGACGCCACGAGGAGATCAATACTGATGGCTCAGGAGCCATCTCACTTCAACATTGAGGAGTCCGCCAGGGGTATGACCTCAGTCAGATCGTCACCTCACCCAATGACGTCCCCCGACGATTCTCGCGTGACACGGCGAACAACCTCTAACAGCATAGATCAACAACACGATATACATCACTGCGAGGATGCCGAGGAGGTCTTCAAGCTTCAAAAGTCGGATGTCTTTGGCGAGTCAC